GATCCTAGGTCCCTGCAACCGTACCCCCCATCTCCAGGGGACACCACCCTCGAGGATGCTCAGCCACGGAGCTGCTCTCTTCGACAGGCACATCTCCGAGGTAGGAAGTCCAGCGTTACAGGCAGCTTGCAAATGAATGGACTGGATCAAACCCAAATCCACGAGCCAAAGGTTGCCTAAATCTAGGCTTTGGGACTACAAAGGATGAAGCTAGGGAGACTTTGACTTGTGCAGTCACTCTCTGTATTAAACTCCATTTTCTTACATGCATTCAAAGCCTAACTATAGCTCTACTGGCACAGCCCTTCGGGACTTGTCTGTATTTTCTCCTAGGCAATACATGCAGAAGAGGACAAAACGTGAGCTGTGGGTGAATAGCTGACAACGCTCGCACGCATCTCTGCTACCGCTGAGATGCTCTCCGGGGCGGTCCGGCGGGTGGGAGCAGAAGGGGCATTTGTGTCTGGTATTCACTTTGTCTCCAGGTGCTGAGTACTTACAGTTCTCACCGATGTCAGCATGGGTCGAAGAAATCAGACCCAGTTGTCTTAATTAGCTGCACGAAGGAATTCCAAGGAAAGATTTTTTCTCAGTCACCAAAAACCACATTCAGGGAACACCTATGTCCTTTTCCACTTAGCTTTGTGTTGGACTTAAGTCTCCCAGTGCATTAATTAAATCTGGTTCCTCCTACTCCCTTCTACCTGGTGGACTGGATGCATCCATGCAATTTGACAGTAACCTCCTGGCTAATTCGCCCCGTTGCACTGAACAGACCCAGCTAAGCAGTAAACACGAAATTCAAATTTCACGTTGGGGTCGGCTTTGCATGGACTTCTCCCTTCCCAAAGAATGCCTTTATCCCGTGCCTAGGTTGAAACGTGCCCCTCCACCTCCATTCGCATCACCAGACACGGCATAGAAAAGCGATGCTGCCTCTTTTGAGATTTCACGCGTTGTGATTAAAAGTGATGTTTTTCCAATGCTGCTTCGTTACAAAGCTGATGGGGACAGATTGAATATAAAAGGAACGGTGGCTGGAAGTAACAGGTGCTATAGACATCACTATTGATACGTGTGGTTAATGGCCATATGCTTAGAATGGGGATTGACAGGGTCCCAACAGGGACTTAAATGTCTGGGGACCCGGGGCATCCTGCACCGAGTAAGGTGGTAAATAAGCAGAGGTAAATGAAGCGCCTTCTCCAGCAGCTTTTTGCAGAACCAGGAATGCACAAAGGATACGCTGGGAAGGTGATGGGGCAGCAACATGGGATACTGGTGTACGTGAGCTTGTCTCTGCCTCACCTCGCTCATCAATGATGCTCAGCTCTTTATGGCTCCAAATCACCACAGGAGCCGAGAGCCCAGCCTGACCATCCCTCTCAGAAGCCCGTAGTGGTCCAGGGTGGAAGGCAGCAGGGTGAGCCCTGGCCGAGGCCCTCGCCTGCACCCTCTCCCCCAAGCCAGCAGCGAGGCAGGGGCTGACAGATGCTGGCGAAGACGGCCAAGGTGCCGAGCACATCACGGGCCATTTGGTTCTCGTTTCCTACCCTTGACACTGAGAGGAGCGTGGCGAGAGAGGGGCAGCCCCCTCGGAGAGTCAACGAAGACACTGAGCAGCGTTGGGGAGGGGTAGACCTGTTGAGCCAGCCCGGCGGGGGGCGAGGCCGGGTCCAGCAGCAGGGGGGGTAAGGCGAGGGCTGCCCGAGCCTCGGCACCGCCGTCCCTCCCTGCCCTGGCTCCTGGTGCAGCAATAAGAATCGTCCTTGGTCTTGCAGAGATACTGTGAAAACAAAACCAAGATGTACCGAGTCTGGACACTTACAGAGATGTAAAAAAAAAAAAAACAAAACCAAAAGACAAAACAAAAAAACCCCCACCAACAAAAAAACCAACCCCCTGCTTTTATAACAGAGAGAAATAAAGTGAAATTTTCAAACGTGTCTGCCTGGAGTCGTTTGGGTGGTGGCTGTTTTTAAACGAACGGCTCCACCACCCCTGCACTCACGTTTCAAGGCGGTGATAAACACCCTATTTACCACGAGCGCCTTCTCTCTCCATTTCAGCTCTGACGCCGCATCAGCTGGAGCGCGGAGGTTTCTGGTTAAAAATACCAGCCGGCATCCTGCATTTTTCATTACCCGGCTGCTGTGCATCGTGCGACAGCAGGGCAGCGCCGAGCCCGGCAGCGCAGGCAGCAGCCAAACTTCCGCGCAGTTCGGTTTCCTGACACTGTTTGCTTATTTAGCAAAAGCCTGGTCAGATGTGAGCTGTAAATACCCCGTCTGGAGAGCAGCAGCCTCCCGGCCAGGCTCCGGCACCCTGGGCTGCAAGGAGCAGCCCTACCCTTTCAGACCTGGGCAAATGAGAGGTTAAAGCTGCTGCAGTACACGACTGGTTTTCAAATACCACGCTGTATTAATTTCATTATTTCCCCCCACCTTTTTTCATATTTAGGTTCTTCTTGCTGTTCAGTAAAGGGAACAGTCCAAATTATTTTCAGAGAGCAGGGGGGTGCCTGGCCAAGCAGCCAGCAGAGCTCCCATGCCCAGGGCCCAGCCCCAGCACCTCCCAGGTCTGTGCTCCAGCTCCTGCTGCCGTGCGCCGATCCCACGCCGGCTCCCTTCCCACCCACTGTGCCCCAAGGCAGACGCAGGTTTCTCACCGTAGTTTTGTTTTGCTGCACTCTGATCCAGCCTCCAAAGAGGCATCAAGGCTTCCCGAAAAGCAGCCGAGAACAGACTTGCTCCGTCTGCTGCAAGACGGTGCTGCTGCAGCGGCTCCCACCCAGCACCCCCAGGACCCTCCTGCCCGGTGGGGCTGCAGGAGCCAGGGTGCTCGGGGCTCTCCTTGAGCAGGGGGGCTGGGCCCTTACCTGGGTGCCCCCAACAAGGTGCACCTCACACCAATGTCTCCCCTTCACTGCATCTGCCTGGAGCGAGCAAGAGCCCGTTACAAGCCTGTCGCGTCCCTTAACAGCTGTAGCCAACCTTTGCAGCTCAAGAGCCTTTTGCACGCTGCCGCCAGGCAGTGGGGAGACCCGGTACCATCACCCACAAACCACTCAGGTGCGTGCCCACAGAAAACACAAACAGCCGCACACTCTGCTTGGGAAGCTCCGTGGCAGCGACACAAACCCAAATCCTGCAGGGGAAGGGGAGGAATGAAACGTACAGGAGGTCATGGCTCGAGGAAAGGAATGCGCATGGATGGAGCCCGAGCGAGGAGAGGACAGGTTCTGAGTGGGATTCCTTTCCACAGTGGAAACTCTCCAGCCTCATCTGTTGATAGCAGGTTAAATTTAGATGTCCTAGTTTTGGAGGTAGGGAGGGGTGGAGAGGGGACACCAGCCAGCTCACAGCTGGTTTGGGTGACACCCTGAAAAAGCCGAAAGGGCCCGGTCACTTATTGTCTGCAGAGACGTTCAAAAGCCTCCCGAGAGGGATGGGGATGGTGGCAGGAAGGACATCGGCTGGTGACCCCAGCCGAGCCCGGGCGATGGTGGAGCCCAGTTCTGGTGCTTCAGGTAACACCGACGCCGGTCCCTTATTGCAATGCATTTGTGTGTGCTGAGGCCAGAAATCAAATTTCACCTTTCTAGAGGTTTTGTTGCTTGCTTCGTGATTTTCTAACCTCGGGTTTAAGCAGACTGAGGCAACAGTTCCTTCATTTGAAGAAATACCCCTGGGCCTCCATGGTCCCAGCTCGAAACTTTTTGCAGGGACTTCCCTCTGTTGATGCAAATCAGGTTTTGTTTCCTATTTCTTCTATCTCACATCTTGTTAAGCTGTTCATGTGCAGCAGCTGCAAACACTCATTTTATTCCTTCATGTTTTCAAGATTTAAAGCAAAATATTTTTAGCAGTGCAGTGAAGAGCCTTGAAACATCTATTAAAAAAAGAATAAAATACCGTGTCATGTGTTGCATGCACACGGTTACAACAGCTCAAACAACCTGCATCAAGATTTCCAAGGCTGCCTTTAATAACACCTTTGTACGTTGGTTCACACAAAGCTATTGGGTACAGAGTCCCAGCAACACATCCAGACACAGGCGAGCAGCACGGGAAGGTCAGGTCCGACCCTACCACTATTCGTAACTTTGGGGTTGTCCCACATTTCCCCCTCAAAACAGAGAAACTGCTTATTTCACCTTCGATGCAGAAGCCGTTCTGACATCCTTTAAGCACAGCGTATCGGAAGCGCTGGAGCTCCTGGCACCCTCCAAGCGGAACTGCAGAGAGGTTCTGCAAGGAGCATGGAGCTGGGAGCGACTCCAGCACCCTGCTCCAAGAGAGAGGGGTATAAGGGGGGTGACCCGACCCATCCCGTCCCTTCCAGCGCTGGAACAGGACAATGTGATGAGGCAGGACTGCAGCTCGAGGCCAGAGCATCGCCTGCAGCTGTGTGCACCCAGGAACAGTGCCCCAGCACCAGGGCTGAGCGACAGCCCTGCCGTATTGCTCGAGCAATGCGCTTGCTGGCAATACGCAACTTCATTTTTATCTTGTGCTCAGGGAACGGTACGAGTTCAGATACAGGCACTGGCAGCACAAAGTGTGCCTGGGCACGATAAAGGCACGTACGGAGGAGTCCTGGCTCTGCGGCAGGAGCCAGAGACACGTTTGCAGAGAAGGAGCTTTGTGACCTGCTGAAAGTTGCAGAAAAACGAGCTGTGGATGGCGCGAGACAGGGAAGACGCTGAGCATGGCCGTGGGGCCCTCAG